CCGCATCATTTGATGTCCAGGTTTATTTTTGTTTGTTCGTTTGTTTCAAAAAAAAAACTGAAATTCAAATTCAATTTAAATTCAATTTTCTGTTTTGGAAATTTTTTTTTGAAAACCAAACAAACGAAAAGCGAAAAACGAAAAAACAAACCCATATTGACCATTTGTTCATCGAACAAAACAAAAAGCAAAAACAAACGAAAATGAAACAAACAAAAAAGAATTTGTTTGACCCGCACAGAATATAGAAATGAAGAAATTCAAATGTGTGTTTCTCTTATTTCAAATATTCAAAAAAAAAAATTTTTCGTAATTTGAATGACTGTAACCATTGTTTTGTTTTGTTTGTTTTTCACCCAAAAGAAAAAGTCAATTCTTTTCTTATCCAACAAAAAATTTTTCATGTAAGAATTGACCAACGAAAAAAGAAGAAAATTTGAATTGAAAATGTGGTCCATTTGTTTGTTTTTCATCTTTGTCCAAATCCAATTTTGAATGTTTGATTTGTTCGGTTCGGTTCGATCAACCGAATCAAACTAAAAATGATTTTTTGTTTCAAGGAAAAAAACTTTCCCAGAAGTAAAACCTTCTTTCTTTATTTCTTATTCGAAATATCTGCTGTTTTTTTCAGCAGCAATTTTCTTTCCTGAAAAATTTCCCGACCCAAGAAAAATCGATTTACCGTCATCAATTGTATCCACCGACGAGAAAAAACGCTTTAACCTTTGATATTTTCATCATCATCATCATAATAAAATTCATAACCAAAAAAGTATCCAGATTTGGCCAAATAAAAATAAACCAGAAAAACCAGAACCAAGAAAAAAAAGAAACTTTCAAATATTCATTATTGCAATTTATTGCCAGTTTAAAAGAAAAAGAAAAAGAAAATATGGTGTGATAAAAACATACATAAAAAATATTTTTTATTTCAAAAAATGTTTTTTTTTTCATTTCAATTCAATTCAAGTTTCAAAAATTGCTTTTGAATAACGACTTTCTCTCCCCTCTCTGTTGGCTATATTCCTCAAGGGCCAGAATTCTGTGTGTGCAGAATATGTTATTCCAAAAATCTGATATTAATAACTATCATCATTATTATTAAGTTTTTGTTGTTGTTGCACGTTTGATGCAAGTGTGTGTCAGTCAGTCAGTCAGTGTGTGTTTGGTATGCAATTTCAAGCAATTATTTTGTCTACTGTCTCTCTCTCTCTCTGTGTGTGTCTAGATTCATGAAAGAATATTCTGCATAGAATATGATATTCCGTTCAGCGAGAAACAGTTCAGAGTTTGAAACTTTGTATTTAATTATGATGACATTATTTTCATTTTCATTTTGTTCTGATCAAAATTAATTTTCTCACATGACGATGATGATGATGGCGTTCTTTGGTTTGATTTTTTTATTGGTTTCAGGTTCGGTTGGGTTGATGATGATGATGATGATTTTGCAATGAATGTTTGCACCCAAAAAACGAAAATTGAGAAATTTCCTTGGAAAATTGATCATTTTTTTGCCCAGTGATTTCCAGTGATGAAATTGGGGTTAAAAAAATGTCAACCACAAAAATTTTTTTCGGTTGAAGGTTTTCTGACATTTCTTTTTTTTTAAAACTGATCATTTATAATGTGTGATGAAGGAGAAATTTTTCAGAAAAATTTTACGATTCCCCAAAAATTTCTCCGTTTCTCAGGATTAATTTCCGAAAAACCAACGCTTTTTTTCGGTTATTTTTCATAAACAGACTTTTGCGAAAAACGAATTAAGAAAAATTCTTTCTTGTCTGGTTGTGATTTGTTAAGAAAAGTTTCTCTGTTTCAATTCCAGAAAAGATTTCTGATTTTGCCGTCATCATCATCATTTTTCAGAATTAACCAAGAAAAAATCAAAAATTGATAATCTTCTTACCAAGAAAAAAAGTTTTCTGGAAAGTTTCTGGAAAATATATTTTTTTTTTGTTTCGCAACCGATTTTCTTCCGATTTTATAATATATTCCCAAACGCTTATCGTTATTAATAATTTATCAACAACAAAAAAAAACTTTCCGGGAAAAAAAATTTCCCGAAAAAATTCCAGCAATGTAACAACAATTTTTATCTTCTTTTACCATAATTAGCATCGACTGATCGTTGTAAGATGATTTTCTTGATGAAAGCCTGAAGAATTTTTTTTTTTGTTCCTCCTTATTCGTTTATCTTTATTTCCTCATTTCATTTCCTTTTCGGTTATCTTTGTTTCGGGTAATATGAAAAAACAAAAAAAAAACGAAAAAACCGAAAAATTCCGATAATGTTTGTGAATATTGATAGGGAAGAAATTGGGAAAAAGAAAGTTTCCGTAAAAGTAACCGAGAATAAGCGAAGAAAATGTTTGAATAAAACTAAGTTGATGAATATTCTTATCATCAAAAGCAGAAAAGAAAAAAGAAAAATTCTGTGATTCTTTAATTTGACTTACGGAATTCTTTTCTTTCTTTCTCTCCCATCACATATTCTTTCGTTAAAATTTTTTGATTTTTGAATTTAATCTTTAAAAATTTCATTTAAGGTTTGCTAATCTAAATCATTTATTTTCGTTCTTCCATTTCAAATTCTCGATTTTTGGATTCGCATTTCCTTCTTTACAATTCTATCAGGTCAAAACATCGAAAAAACAAATTGATTATCCTACCCCCACACACACACACAGAAAGAAGAAAATATAATCTCTGTTTGATTCTAATCAAGGATTATTTTTGTTTTGCAGAGGGAGCAAATCGAAATGAATTTCTCGTTTCGGGTCCTAATCTTTGGAAAGAATTATCAAAATTTGTAGCAAAATTTTGTTGGAATCGAAAAAAAATAGCAAAATGAAAAAACCAAAACGAACAAACGAAAGTAAGAATGAAAAATGACGAAATTTGAAATCATTTTTCATTTGGCTTTTTTTTCCTGTTTTTCATTATTCTTTTCATTTTTGTATTTCAATTAATTTTTTTTATTATTAGTTTTTTGGTTCTCGATGCTGGTTTCTTTTTCCTTTTTTTTTTTGGTTTCCTTTGGAGTGAGTTTGTGTTAAAGAAAGAAATTTTTTCTTCTTTATGAACTTTTAAAATTGGATTTTTCTTGCGTGAGAGTGAGAGAGAAGTTATTGTTATTATTTTTCTGGGAGGGGAGAAATTTTATGAAAAGAAACTTGCCGGGAATTGTTTTCCCGAAAAAATTTTCCGTCAAGTTTCAATCGACATAGTAATGTTGTTTTTTATTTCTCATTTAATTTGTTTAAATATTTTTTCTTTAATCGGAAGAAATTTTCTGAGAAATTCACTTTTCATTTCCCGTAAAGTTTCTTTCAACAATGTTTTTAAAACGAATTTTTTTCAATTCAATTCAATTCAATGATGACAATCAATCGAACACAACTTGAGAAAAATTTTCAGATGAAAATATCCGATAAATATTTTTCCATCAACTATTTCGACAGCAACAACAACAACAAAAAAAAACTTTGAATTATCATTTTCAATGATGATAATGGGTAAACTTAAAGTGAAACTGAGTGAAACTGAAAGTGCCAAACAACCAAACAAAGAAATGTTTCCATCAAGAAATAGTTTTCGGGAAAACGAAAACGAAAAAAGGAAATTGAAATGAGTTCATCCGTAAATATAATTTCTTCTTGTTATTATTATTGTTGGATTGTTGTTGTTGTTGGATTGTTGTTGTTGTTGTTGTTGTTATTCTGTCTTTATTATGTCAATGTTGTTGTTGTTTGTTTGTTTGTTTGTTGTTGTTGTTGTTGACGATATATCTATATGGGAATTGGTTTATTATTATTATTATTATTATTGGGTGACAAAGAAAAATAAAGCTGTCAAATATCTGTTATCTTTGTTGTCGTTTTTGTTGTTGTTGTTGTTTGAAGACAGGAATTGTGTATACAAAGGGGAGAAGTTTTGGGGGGTAATCGCAATGAAGAAAGAAATAAACAAACAAACATGAATTTGGTTTAGTGGAAAGCGAGGGCAAAAAAAAATCGAAGAAATTTCCCAGAAAAACCAACCAGAAAAACATTTACGGAAATTTTTTTTGTTACGAAATGATAATGGAAATGTTTTCAAATAAACAAAAACAGGATATTTGTATTTAGATAATTTTTTTAAATTGAAAAATAAATTCTTTCTCTGATTAAATTCAAGAGAAAATTTCCGGAAATATTCGGGGAAAAATTTCCTACAAAAAAATGACACAATTCTGATGTGTAATTCACTCTCTCTGTCTATATGTGTATGGTGATATTTGATTCACATCGATTACTATCACATCGAAATATCATGTTTTTGCTCGATTCATTCATTTATGATGCTAATCATAAATATACACTACTTTATGTTCTTTGAATGTGGATCAATTTCGTTTTCCTTTCGTTCGTTGTGTTTGTGTTTCTCTGAATTTCATTTTTCGATTCGATTCGATTCGATCATCAATGATGATATAAATTGATCGGAGGCAAAATGAATGAATGAATGAATGATGTCCATAATAATAATAATAATGTTGATATTGAATAACAACAACAACAACAAGGAATTTTCAAAGGAAAAACATGGATTCTTTTTATATAAATTATTCTTGACCATTCCCGGAATCGAAACAAAATCAACACATCCATAATCATCACAAACAACAGACAAACAAACAAACAAACAGAGAATGATTATTATTTTGATTTTTTGATTTTTCTTTTTCAAATCTCTTCGGGGAATTCAATAATAATAATAATGTTTAACGATGTTTGTCATAATCATCATCATTCGTTATCATCATAAAACTATCGATAGTATCGATAGTGTTGTCATCGATTTTTTCGATTTTTGAATGATGTGGCAATTTGATTTCCTTCTGTTTGCTACATTTTTTAACGCATTTTGCTACATTTTTTTAAAAAGATACATTTTTTCTTAACGGAAAAAACCCTTTAATAACATTTTTTAATTTTCGTTTTCATTTCATTTTCTTTTTTAAGAAAAAAATAAATAAGAATGGTGTGTGTGGTGTGTGTGTGTAAAAAATGTTTCTCATTTGACTGTTGTTGTTTTTAAAACACTACCGGTTTTAGCAATATTACTTTTACCTAAACTTTTTGTACTTTTTTCTAAAATATCTGTAGTACTATTACTACCTGTTGTTTTACTTTTACTACGTCTTCGTCTTGGTATTGTCGATCCTAATGTTGTTTCACTTTTTGTACTAGCATTACTTTTACTACCAATACTTATACCACCTAAACTTGTACTACTTTCACGTAATTTAAATGATTTTTGACTTTTTGATTTGGATTTTTGTTTAGTTATTGATGATGATGAAGATTTTGATGATGATCTTTTTATACCACTTTTAGATGATGATGATTTTTGACTACTGCCACCACCAGCACCAATTTTACTATCAGATTTTTGTTGTTTAGATTGTTGTGATGTTTTTGTTGTTGTTAATGTTGTAATAGATTTTGGCATTTTTTTTGCAGCAGGTGATTTAGGTGAATCAAATACACCAGATGCTTCCATATTAGCCATTGCTCTATCCACTGCCATTTGTACACGTTCTTCCCATTCTTGTTGTGCTTTACTACGTGTACGTAAACGTGATAATAAAAATAATATAAATATTGAAAATAATATCATAAATGTACCAATAATATTTATAATTAATTGAAATGAATTTTCTTCTGAATCTTTATCCGCCTGTATAAAACTTGATAATTGATTCAAGCCTAATAGGCCGGTTAAAACACCCATCAATAATGTTGATATACCAATCAAACGGATATTTGTTATTGATTCAATTGATTCATTATTTTCTAATTGTAATACACGTTTACCACCACCCGAACCAAATAGATAACAATTTGCACATGAATAAATAATCATTAATGTTAATGTCATCATACCGAACCATGAATGTAATGTAAAAAAATTCGGTACATCACGATTAAAATGCCAATAAACAGTAGCAATTGCACCAATTATTGTTACAATACACATTAATAATAATAATATTGAACGAATTAGACCATAGGATTTACTTTTTGGTATTAAAAATAATAATGCTAGGTTTTTTTAAATAAAAAAATTACAATTAGAAACATTTTGCTACAAAATTGCTACAAAATACTTACAATTACCACCAAGATAAACTAAACCAAATACCATCATTAATGGATGATAATTAAATATTGATTGAACATTTCCAAGGCCAAATCCACCATAAAATTGAATACATAAAATGGCCAATAAAATTAACATTGAACAACCAATAATTTGTGCAAGAAAATGTAATGAACAACTATATAATAAATCTAAACGTTCTTCACGAATTTTTTGTGAACGGGATTTTTGTGTAATTGTTTGCGTTACTTTGGCATGTATACGTTCAACTTTTCCACCACTGGAATCACTTTTAGATGTTTCACGTGTTATAGATACTTTATCACTTTTTTGTGATTTAGTTTTGCTTGGTAATGATGATGATGATGATGTTCGACTACCAATTCCGCCAACAATATCACCAAATGATAATGGTGTTAATTTTATTGGTGATTTTAATCCTGTTATAGCTGTTTGAAATGAAGTTTGTTTTACTGGTGGTGGTGGTGGTGTTTTTGGAACTATCGATGGTGGTTGTTGTTGTTGTTTTGGTTCCATTTTTACTGCCAGTGATGATGATCGTGGTGGTGTGGGTGGTTTTTGTTGTTCTTTTGATTTTGGTTTAATTTTTATGGATGCTGCTGGTGGTGGTGGTGGTATTTGTTGTTCTTTTGCTTTTGGTTGTTCAATTTTAGCCACTTGTTGTTTCTTTGGTGGTGATGATGGCGGTTTTGGTGATTTTGGTTGAATTTTTCCACCTGCTGCTGCTGCTGCTGCTGCTGGTGGTGTTTTACGTATAGATATTTTTCTACTTGTTTCATCTACTAATGGTATTACATGACCAATTTTTTTTGATGAATCAAAACCAGTCGAATCGGTTGATGATAATGCAATAATACCTGATGCTGGTTGTTCTTTTGATGATGGTAATGTTATTGGTATTAAATCAGATTTTGATGTTGTTGTTAATCCTGTTGATTTTGTTAATTGTCCAGGTGGTGGTGGCATCAATAACAATTGTTGTTGTGGACCTTTTATTGCTTGTTGTTGCTGTTGCTGAGGTTGTGTTTGTATCGATAATCGTGGTGATGTTGGTGGTGATCGTTTTGATCCCGGTGATCTTGGTGAACGTTTACGTCTTTTCCAACTTGGTGATTTTTTTTCCACTACCTGTGTAATTTGTGTTGATTCTTTACCATGTGATATTTTTATTGATAATGTTTCTCTTGTTTCGATTGTTGGTTCAGTGGATGATTTTATTTCCGAACCTAATGTTTCTGTTTTACTCATTAATGATGGTGGTTGATCTAATTTTTGTAATGGTCCTGGTGCTTTATACGGTATTATCTGTAATGCACTAGCTGGTGCTGAAGTAGTTGTTGTTGATGACGGTGGCGGTGGTGCAGGTGCAGGTGTCATCGATCGCATTTTCGATGGAATAAATGCAGATTTTTTTGTCATCTGTGCAACAGCCGATGTTTGTGGATCACGCATTGTCATTGATTTTTCTCGACCGGTTGGAAAATTTTGTACTTTACGTAATGATTGCGTTTTTGCCGCCGCTACCGGTATCATTGATTTTGATTGTGATTTTTCAATACCTTTTGGTTGCGGTTGTGGAGCAATTTTTGTTTGTGAAAATAGTTTCGATTGACCACCACCAATAGTAATATTATCTTGTTTTGATTGCATTTTTGTTGTCGATACTGTTTTCGATGCTGTCGATGATGATGCTGTTGTTGAATCAAGTGATGTTGATTTTGGATCAGACATAATTGAATCAGTTTGTTTGTTGTTGTTGTTTGTAGATGTAAAATCAATCAATCAAACGCAAAATGTATCAACTTTGAAGAATTTCTATTTTGAGGTGGTGAAACAGAGAGAAAAATGCTTGAATTCTTTCAACAAAAAAAAAATTAACAAAATAATAAACTTTACAATAACATTTTGAATATGAATTTCAACGATACTTATACCCGAAATCGAAAAACGTAAATTCAATTTGAAAAAAATGCAAGAATCGAAAAAGAATTTTTCAAGAATGTTTTTTTCTGTTGTTGAAACGAAAAAAAAACATTCGAATTATTCTCGAACAAAACATCAGTCGCCATCTAGTGTCGGTCGAACTAACCAAATTCATTTTCCATTGAAAAAAATTTACAAATTTTTTACAAAATTTTTTACAAGTTTTTTTTACAAATTTCTTTTTGTAATTAACATTTTTTTAATTATAATTTTCATTATAAATAATAAATCTTTGTAAGAAAAATAATGAATAACATTTTTTCACTTTTGTAATCACCTTTGAAAATAATCAACGAAAAAGAGAGAGTATAACTATAGCAATATCAGTATTATATTAGGCAAAAAAGAGAACTACATTGAGAAATTGAAGAGAAATTGAATTTTTCCGTTTGTTTCTGGGTTGAGATTCACTTGTTGTTGTTGATTTATTGAACTTTTTTCATATCGCCATTTGTTGTTGTTGTTGTTTTTGTTGTTGTTGTTGTTGTTGTTGTTTTCGATAAATATGATTTAATAAAAAAATTTGCAAACAACATCAAATAAGAAATATAAATAGCCAGGCCGGCATAAAGACGATCCATTGATATACCACATTCACGACCAGATACTCGTATATAATATGCATAAAATGTAACAATTGAACCGATAATCATCTGTACTATTTGTGCACTTGTAATGGTCATTGCCAATGGTTTAGGTAATCGTATACCCAATGCCCGTATAGCATAATATGAATACATCATTGCATGTACGAAAAAATTCATATAAACATACCAACGTGCAACTGATGTTTCATCTGCATAACAATACCATGTAAATATTAATACGGTTGCATGATGATACCAATGTAAAAATATTAATTTCTGACGACGTAATACAATGAATATTGTATCAATTAATTCGGGTAATTTTGATAATACAAATAAATATGTCCAAAAACTTGATATTGGTACCTTGTGGGTTACATAAGTGTTAAATTAATTAAATTAGTTAATTAAATTAGAAAAATTAACCAAAAACATACCTCTTTATGATATGAATTTGAACAAACAGAATGATAAAAACCATAATTCTTTAATATATGTATCATTTCAGGCCAAACACGTATAGTACCTGCAATTGAAAATGTAGCCAATATTATATTCCATATTATTAGTGGGTAACGTAAACGAAATGGTTTCGATCGTGATTCCATTACATTTCGGCCAATATAAATAAATAATAAATATAGAAATGACCAATAAAATGAATCAAACCAATGTTTACGCATCCAATTAACATGTTTTTGATAATGAAATTCATTTTCAAATTTAAATATAAAACTATAATTTGGTGATAATGGATTGTTTGTTTCATATGGTAACAATAATTGAAAATTATTCATTTTGTTTTTGGTTTGGTTTATTTATTTTTCTGCTGTGTTTTTTCTTCTTGGTAAAAAATTGATGATTGAATTCAAAACAGAGAGGGATCAATAATTGAATGGTGATTGAAGTTTTTTGTAGTTTTTTGTAGTTTTTTGTAGTTTTTTGTAGTTTTTTTGTAGTTTTCTTTTTGAAAGTGATGAACGATTAAAAAAAGAAATCTAGAGAAATGAAAATTATATTAAAAAAAAAGTTTGAAACAAACAAAATATGTTACTAATTATGTTATATTAACACCATAGGAGGAAGATAGGGCGAGAGAGAGAGAGAGAAATGGCGTGATGTATTTTTTGGTCAATCCAGTTAAGAAATGAAAAAAAAAGAAACAAACAAAAAATATCCTCTCTCTCTATCGCTATTTCTTTCTACGAAATCAAATGATGATTATTGATGGCGTGTGTGTTTTTATTATCTTGAAAAAAATGGTTCGATTTTTTTTTTCTTTTCTTCAAATGATGTTTGTAGTAATTTTTGTATTTTACCAAACATCATCCCACCCACGCATACAAATAGTGATTGTAAAAAAAATTATGCAAATATTTGACGTTCACAAAGTAATTACAACAAAAAATCATTAATCAATCACATCGTTATAGTAGCTAATGGGTTAATCAATCGATTGATTTATATACAGAAAGAGAAAAGAAGAATTTTCTTGATGAACTAAGCGGAAAAAAAAGAAAAAATATATCTTTTTTTTCCCACAGTAAAATGTGTGCAAAGAAATGTTTTGTTTGTTTGTTTGTTTGTTTTTTGAAAAAGGAAAAAAAAATTCTAGAATTCTGACGGAAGGAAAACACAGCAACGTGTTAAATAACACAACAGTAAATCTTTGCTTGCTTGCTTGTCTCGTTTCTTTCAATCGTTTCACACATTCATTCTTTTTTATCGATTTTTTGTTTCATTAAAATGTCCATTCAAATCAGTGAAATCAGGGGAAATTTTTCTGTTTGTTTTTTGTTTCTCTGTTTTGTTTTGATATGCAATAATTCAATCAATCAATCAATCAAACAATCAATGAATGACGTTCATTTCATTCCATTCATTTCAATCAAAATTTCATTAACATGGTTTCTCTGTTTGGTTTTTGATTGTTTTTTTTTAAGCCTTTTTCAGTTGATTTTTTTTTAAAAAACTTGATTTGACGTTTAAACGTCAAATTAAATTTTTTTGATTGCTTGATTGATTGATTGATAGCCAATAATGATTTTCCTGATTGAAGATGATTTCCTCAACTTTTTTTATAAAAAAAACAAACAAAGTTTTTCACACAGGAATTTGTTATTGGTTTTATCAAATTGATTACTACTAATAACTTTTTTTTTCATTTGAAAAAAAATTGAAAATTTGAAAATTCAAAGGAAATTAAATGGAAATTTGTTTTGTTTCCAAAAAAGAAAAAAAACAATGTTTTTTTTTTTAAATTTGAAATTCAAAGAACAGAAACAGAAACAGAAACAAAAAAATTAACCAAATTCAAAAATCGTAACCACAAATTTAATTAAAAAAACATACCTTTTATCGTTTCTTCTGTTGTTTGTTTGTTTGTTTGATAACTGGGGGGAAAAAACAAAACAAAAACAAATCAAGAAAAACGATGTTTTCAAAACAAAACAAAAAAATTTTGATAAAAGTAAAAGAAAACCTTTTTCAATGTTTCATTTCATTTCATTGTCTGTTTTCACTGCCAAACAGATCATCATCAGCTAGCCAGTTTTGCAATCTTTGTTTTTTTTTTGGTTTTGGTTTTTCGATTCAGGCATGGCTTCTTTCTTTCTTTCATTACACCAAACAAACCGCACAACCCTATTCTTCATTCAACTATTTTACTACGTCAAGGTTAATATTCAAAGAAGAAGAAGAAAATTTT